ACAAGTTTCGTTCTTACTTCAACATCTTGACATTTCCAAAATTTATAGTAGACAATTCAAGATATGTAAACTAGTCAAGACTGTTTTCTTTTTAAAGTTTGCAGGTTTAGTGTAATGCTTCCTGAGCTGAAGAATATAACAAAAAATGGAAAGACGCTTACAACGAAACAGAACAGGAATTTAATGTCAATTTATTGCCATGGATATACCAGAGATCGCATGTATAACAGTAATATGTAATACCAATGTACGCTAAAATAAGAAATTACGTAATACATGTGTACACATTTTCATTGTAAAAAAAGGAAGACAAACTTTGTTTTTATAAGTATTTTAATGCTGAATTGAAGTTTATACAATTCTTTTTATCTCTAAAATACCAACTTAGTACAATACTATTAATTACCAAGAATTCTGTGACGTCATTTATATGACGATGTCAAATGCCCTGAAAAAGAAAATACAGATTTCATCAGTCAATCAAATATCACCTTGTAACAGAGCTATTTATGGCATAAAATGGATAAGAATTTACATTTTAGGTCATGATAGTAATCTCGTACAGAACACGTAATGGTAAAACTTTCAGCTAAAAATAAAATTTTTAATCGAATATTGCATTAAAATCCAAAATGACTGCCATTAAATGATGCTTCTTTTAGAACAAATTTTCATGATAGTGATAATTCTTACGATTGAAAATCTTTATACATATAATTATTGTGTGCAAGGAAAAATTGGATCCCGGACTCCGTAGATCTTTAATCGGTCCATTTATTGACGGCATGTGATAATAACAGTAACTTACAAAGTAACACATGTCTGTTCTTCTGTCTGTTCGTCAAAAAATTGTCCATACTTTTCCTTAAAAACTACTGGTGCAATTTCAACAAATCTTTACAGGAATGATCAGTACTTAGTCTAGTTGTGCATTTCGTCGGCTTATTCCAGAGTTATGGATCTTTATACTATTATTGCAACTTTACAGGGCTGATCGATATCTCACGTACCTGCACATATTTATAGATTTTCCAGTTGAATGATTTTGGCTTAGTAATGACCCTTGGATAAAAAGCTTTTTGGCCTGTTAATGATATTTTTGTCTCCTGCTACACAGTAGCTACATCATGCGACAGTTAGGGAACAAACTTATCAATCGACCCTCAGTTCTGCTTAATTAGCTATCATCCGGCGACATATGTGTCCAAGTACGTTTAAATGCCGTACGAATTACATATATTAGAAGGAAAGCTTTTAAAATTGCGAACAATGTATTATTTGACACATTACGCAAAAGTAGCGTTCCATAATTAGACAACAAGGTGATGATTCATTAACAAAATCTAATTTACCTTGTCTATTTGATTGGGTTTATAATAACATCGTCATCATCATCACCACCACCACCATGCACGACGTTAAAAGGTTGCCCAGTGTAAGAACGGGTTCCTAAGATCGCATTCCCGGCAATTACGGCGAATAAAATGACATACACGTCTAAAAATATGATTTATTATGATAGAAATATAAAAAATCCTATTATATTCCATCAATTTATAAACCCTATTATCTGGAAAAATAACACACACACACTAAATTATAATTTCTTGAAATTTCAAAAGTTGAATAATGTTTCTGGGTATTTGATATTACTTTTTTACACAAACCATTGTGAGATCTATTATTAATGAGAATGCAAAAAACTTACATACAGTTATTTAGTTAACCAATCTATGAAAGAAGTTACATACATGTTCTGATTCTGCCATCTCGTTCATTCTCTACATATACTGGTACCCTGTAAGTTATTTCTGATTGACACTTCACATAAACCATCCATAACAGTAAGACACAATTTATTCCAACTAGTTTTGAACATTGCATGGCTGGTCCTTTGCTGAAGATAAAAATGTGCAATGTTCAATGTCATTAGGAACTTCTCACTGAATACTAATTGTGTGTAATTTCATATACATGTATCAAGGATTAACTTTTGTTATATCGCATTAACAAAGGCACACCGTGTTATCATTAAATAATAACATTTGTAGGATGTAATTAAGTGTATATTATTAGCTATATGCTATAAAATGTCCGACAATCAATATCAAAATATCTTCAACCTAGACTATTCAACATATCTGGAATAAAATCTGCATGTATTTATTGTTTCTTATTAAATTCCAAACGTTATAACAAAAAAATTCCGTAACCTTGCCTAGCAACATGACTTGTAAGGAATAATTATAAACAACAAACATGGCATTGTTACAGACTAGATTTTCAAAACGAGCCATCACAAGTAGGCAAGTACTTTCGCATCGTTCTTATTATCTGATAAACTTTATCAGGTGAGGTTTATTTGGATTTGAATCACTCGCCATTATGGTTTCGTCTTCAAATGTTCTTTTAGCCAATATTTTACTAAATCCATCAATACATGGAGTAGTTTCAATTTTTATTAATTCTAAATATGACTTATAGTCAAGGTTATTTAGGATCAAGGTCATATTCAGTTTCAGGTAGCATGACTTTGTTCAACTCGTTCTGACAGAATGTTCGAACAACAACAACAACAAAATGGAAAGAACATTTCGTATTTGACACTGACAGTCAAGGTCATTTTGAGGTTAAGACCATACATTAATTATTTGACGTGTCGGTTCTATTATAAGTGTTGTTTTATAAATGAATTTCATCCGTCCATAAATAACAAAGTTAATATGCTAATTAAAGCGAAATTGACGATCAATATCATTCAAAGGTCAAAGTTGGACCTGTATTATTCAACATCGAGTTTATTATGTCACGTATAACTCTAGTTATCATCTTGATGTAACTTGATATATGCTTAGTTTGATTGCGATATGTCAATACTAACTAAAGGTATGAACTTGATATTATTTAGCTATGAAAACAAACAAACAAACAAAAGAATCTGAAGCGAGCTCCACGTAAGATTTCATAGGTTTTATACCAAGTATGATTTCAAAATCTCATTTCTGACGTCACTCAGAACTTGAAACCATTTTTCGATTTTTTAAAAATAACGACTTATTCCGAACTTATCGGAATCCTTACTTAAACTTAAGGTATCGACCGGACTGACTCTATTTTTTAAATTAAGAGAGCATGACCTTGGCCCAAATTGGCCAAAAGCAATCCCAAGTGATGTCTCCACATAAGTTTGCTGTATACCAAGTTTAATTAAAATATGTCACTCATAAACATTAGTTATCGACCGGAAATAATTTACATATTCATTGTAAAGTTCTTTTCAAAAACCAAGTTCTATGTTGATCCCGCAAAACATTTAATTAAACCCTTTGAAGAATTTTAATAAAAGAAACAACATAAGCTTAAAAGGTAATTACCTATTTTGAATTGTCAACAACCAGCAAATACAGGGCTGCCTGCGGTCCGTACCAACAAATGACATCTAATATAGTATTTAAAGTGTCACCATGTCCTATTTGTCATATGTCAAAGCTACATATGTACATATCATTTAATCTATATGAAACCTTTAGTCCAATGAAATTTAATACGAACGTTTTCTCTCGTGATATATTATAGCTCAAGAGTACATTTACAATTTAGAAAATCAGCGACAAATTTTAAAAGTAGCCGGTGACTATTTTGTGGCAAAGAGCTGTCGCAATAGGGGAAGTAATGAGTAGGTTTGGCCGCATGACAAGCTGTGTCTGTTGAGCTACGAATCGGTAGACTCATGAATTCCTGCCGCAACTGATTTAATTTTTTTAGATACATTCTAATAAATTTTAACAAGCTTAGTGTTTTAATTTATTTTTTATAAACAGTTGATTTACTATACTGAATAACAGTTTGTCGATTTAACAAAGTTAATGTGTATAAATATGATTCATTTGAAATACTGCAATCCTATTGGACAAACATAATTTCAAACACTACGGGCTTCTAACAGTATTGGCAATGAACATCAGGACAGTGTGGTATTGTTAAAGTTTTGCGGATGATTTTTTCAATAACTGTTACATATTGTAAACTTTGAAAACATATGTGCAACAGCTAGTGTATCTAACATCCATATTTATTAATATAGACTCACAATCGCAACTTTCCAACCATTAGCGCAAATCCTCTGTAAAGGACTTTTAAAATTACTGGATGAAAACAGGCATCTGGAAACAAATCAGCAAACTCGTTACATTTTTAAATCGGTTTGCGTTTTCCTTCCAATATCACACTTATCGATACCAAGAAAGAATAAACAATAAACCAGATACGATTAGCGACCTAGCCAAATTACGTAAGAAATACTATGAACGAAATTCTAATCGCTTTTTAAATAAAATTCTAATGATATTTTTATTTCCATGATTGCCTGGGAAAATGGTTTTCATGCCATTATTGTTTTTGTCGTGGTGGTCAGCATTCATTTCTAGAATGAAATTTAATTTTCTTTAGTAAATATGACATTAATCATTTGAATTTGTAGTTAAGACAATGTTGCTTAGATATTATAGTCCTATGTCAAGCGACAACAATTCGAACCCGCGCTCACAACGGTAATTTGAACATTTTAGTTTAGTTTAATTCGGTAGGATGTCATGAACGGGGACATCCAACGTAAAGAGCAAAGCGCATCTAAACAGTTCTTATTTTGATGTTTTAATCCAAAATTACAACTGGTATAACAAGTTATTATATTTATTCTGCATTCTTTTTTATGAAAGAATTTGTCGTGAGCCTTCTCTCCCTCGAGCACAGACTATGGATATGATTTCAAACTTTTAGGCTATCTTCCATCTTACACGGTCGATAATTTATTCATTTTTTTATATAAAAACTGACTATTGAGTGACATGTTTCCAAAAATTGGTTTTAAATGTACAAGCCAAAATGTATAACATCTAGAAAGTAGAAAACAACAACAACAACATCAACACACGCGGCCATGAACATTTTAAAATAAAAATACGTCTGTACATTTTAATAGTTGCGATATTTCAGTTCAATGCCAGGTCGTCTTTACGTCTAATCAATTACCTTAACAAAGTTTTTAACACATGCATTAATGATATGATATCAAACATTAAGACTCACATAAATCACGCATATTCTTTATTTTATGGTCAGTCTGGACTTTTATTGTTATTTTCCTAAAATTGCTACAAGCACTTATAGTTTCAACATAAACGACTCAGCTTCCGTATACATGTAGATGACAAGTGTGGACATCTCAGGGATACGTCAAGGTAAAACTCTCTCTATTTTATTCTTTATATTTTCGATATTTAACCGTTTTTGTTATAAACTAATTATATTATTTGTGTTAAACTGTGATAATCAATTGTTTACTACATGAACCGAAAAAGAGACTCGATTGTTATTTCTTAGAAAGATACCAGACCGATGAAAATAACTCTTTATTTCAAATAAATGCCCAGTCTCGGACGTGAACAATTTCTTGTCATTGTAATCAATTATACAGTAGAGCTATTATTACTATTATTTTATTTAAAAAATTAATTTTTCGTAATACAAACATTTAAAGAAAGTTTAATAACACCTGAGAAAAATAGGAAATAAATAGATCATGTGTTAACTGCCAAAAGCAAAAGCTGCATAACCTTATTTAATATATGTTCATTTTTCCTAACACACTGCTGGTAATCTATTTTAGCTCATTAAAAAATTCTTTTTAACTAATACCAAATAACACATGTATAAAAGTGCAAATTCCTCATAAGCGAAGATAGCAACAATATTATGTTCGTATTGCATACTTGTTCAACAATCATCCCTGATGTTGACGCATACAAAATTTCAACCCAGTGTGTCTTTACAAACATCCAAAATAGCCTGATCGAAGTGAAAATGTTGCCGTTCTTTACAGAAATGTTTTTTAAGGCTTCCGATAATGATAGACACGCTCTGAAAGTGACTAACATTTCTGCTGAAAATCAAGACCACTCTTTTGTAAGATAAAGTATGCTTAAATTTGATTTTTAAAGAAATAATAACTATACAGTTTTCTTTTGAAATGTACAATAAACATCTTTTGAATACACAGCTGTTTTAAAACTCTACACACTACAGGTAATCACAGTATGATAATATAGTGTTGTAAAAACTGGCAGTTTTTATAAGAATAGATCAAATTAATTCGAAAAGTAATAGGGAATGCAGCTTCCCAAACCTAGTTCATACATTCAATTATTCAAATTAGACATATTCAGGAAAGAATTTACTAGATTTCAATAAATTTCTGCGATATAAGTTTGTTTTACCCAAAGTTGAGCATAGTATATATTTTATTTCTTTATCTGTATCATACCTTTATCCACTATATGCTCATGATTAATATTTTTCTTCATGACAGAAAAGATTTTAAGTAGGTGCATCGAAAAGGTTTATTTATTATTGAAAACGAGATTAAGTACGACCAGCACTATGAACAACGATGAATAGAACGATTAACATGAACGCATTTTATTTTCCTTATCTGATCTTTCACTAAAATTGTTTCTTCGATGCACCTATCGCATTGATATCTTTTCCATCTTGAGAATATTACAAATGAAAGTCTAAAGGCTTAGTCATAGAGGCGGATTGAAAACTGTATAGTAGAATTTCTTTAATTTACCATTAATTTAGAATAGGTTTACAAAATCATTTTCAGCTAAAACTGAGTAATACGGTGTGAGTATTAAACCATGAGTGTGTAAAACGTTTCTTGGTCGTGGAACCACAACATGCCCTTGACTTGACTTAAACACACATAGCCGGCAATCCTTAAATTACTAGTCCGACGCGTTTAAACAAAGATAAATGTGAATAATATGACCAAGGTTTACAACACTGCACTTTCGTAATATAACCGAAATTAATTAACCAGTATAGAGCCGAATCAGACAGAACATCCGTGCATCATGATCAGTCTCTGTACTGTATGTTGATAAACTTTTTTATCTTGATAATTGATAATTGACAGTTTTTAAAATGGAAGCTAAAAGTTCATTTCACAAAGCCAGCAAGTTAATGATAACGCTTGCAAATATAAACAGTTCAACCATTTCCAGCTCTGTCGGCTTATCAAGTTAAATATATTTTTCTTGCAGTCGCTCACATTACCTATTAAAAGTAGGATAAGTCGGGTATAGAAATTAATTTGGAAAAAAATACTCCCAGGTCAACATTTGCATATATAGTTTGAAATATCTACCACATTTATTGTATATAAAACGTTTATGTTTTGTATAAATGAAATAATTCTATTATATGCATAAACTGATAAGTACAATAAACTGTAAACGGAAAATTTTTCAAGAAAATGTATATGAACTTTTTGGAATGTCATAGCCAAAACTGATTCCCGTTCGATTTGCGTAACTATAGTTGTATATATACCAATTAAAGACATTTGTGAAAATTAGCCTCCTTAATAATAGAAAGAATGAACAGACATATTTAAAAGTTTGCCATTTAAAAAGGGGCGGACAGCTTTTATGTCCCTTTCTAGTAAGAGAAGGGGAATCCTGTGATGCGTGTATGTAGTCGCACGGTCACTTTCCTCAATGTGTGTATGTGGTCGCACCGTCGAATATCTGTAACAAAATGACAATGATTGGAATGGAAGAATTATTGTGCTTAAAAGTTCTTTAAAACATTTGACTTGTGATAATGAGATTATAAAGCCTGATTAGGACTTTGTTACTCCTAAAGTGGAGAAATAACAATCTTTGTTACTCCCAGTTACATCTAATTAAGATTTTTTACCGCTAATTAAGAGAAATATGCTTATTGAGTATACCAAATTTCTAATTAGGTTTTTCATTTCTCCTAATAAGGAGTGACAAAGTCCTAGGTTTTCCAACTCCTAAGATTTAAGTACAAGTTAAAGTTAGGAGGTACTTTCTTCTATGACGGCATTTAATAATCTTGATTAGAACATTGTTTATAAAGAAATAGTCGGGTAAAGTAAATTAATATTAGGAATTTGAACAACTCAGCTGTTTAATACGCTTTATGTTTTTCTTAGAACTAATGGTTGGTTTGGTTATTTGTTGCAATTTTCGGGACTTGCCGCTTACAGCACTTAAAGTGCTTTGATAACTATAGTCTGAGCTTTGACGATCGACCAAAAGGTCATGTTTGAAAATGATAGTCAACGTTTTATGATTAAGCAGGCTAATTTAAATCTGTGTCTCGGATCTCATGATACCATCAGCCACATTTCGGACATTATACTACATGTTGATTTAGTATCACTTATGATGATAGCAAGTTTCTATTTGCAAACCAAATGCCAAAGAAAGATAGAACATATTAAAAATACATCTCTTTCCCATGGTATTATTAATGTGTTTTGTTAGATATTGTAACAACTTGGCCAGTGGTATCCGCGGATAGGAGTACTCTTCTGTTCAATCGAAAAAATAGGACGACATGTGAAGTCGGCAACAAACGATATATGTGACGCGATATTTAGATAGGGGGTTTGCTTTTATAGTTTTGTAACACATTTTGGTTGAAGTCATGTTCATTGTTACAACGTTTACTTAAGAATGTGCCCTGCTGTAGAGTTACTTGTGTCTATTATGCCAGTTGAAGTTGACCTCTTTGGATTGAACAGTGTGTGATACCCGAAAAAAAAAACAACTATAACATTGGTACCGCAAACAATATGTAGCATTATTTTTCTATTTTCAGCAGCTGGAGAGGAAACATGCGTTTATACACGCTATGTGTACTGATGCTTTTAGTGTCCCTAATTCGGGCAGTATATATACCACACCCAAGAGACCCTCACCTACTTATCCCGGTAACGCTTGACACTGAAAGACCACGTGTCAGGATACAGAAAGTACTGGTAGAAGAACCACCCAACAGAAACCGTCTGCGTAAGTAGTCTTTTTTTAAAGGCTTTCACCCTGTCGTATTCCGACATTACTTTCATATATTTCTCAAACATTATTATTCAATCTTCAGCAATAACATTATAGAGCCTACCACGTAATCCCAATTGATACAGTTTAACTAGATAGTCGAATGCTTTTAAAAAAATCTAATAATGCACAGTTGTTTATTATTATTAATAAATAACATGATTAATCAAACCATGTAAAACAAAAATGTCGTCAGTGGAGCTGATAATGAAATGTTCTAGAACAAAATTTTATTTTTCATCATATATATATTTTTATTCTTAATTTCTTACAATTTAAGCAACTTTTTTTTATCAAGCTACAATTTATAGAGCTGCAACGCTTGCGCACAAAATATTATTTTCAATTAATCTCTTATCATATTTATTGTTTACTCATATCTTTCTCTTTTAAGTGTCCCAGCTGATCTTTGTAGGCAATTTAAATTTCACACTTTAGGCATTTGACATCAGTGGATTTCCTAAGGCTTTATGTAAATCAAGATTTGAAAAGTATTATTTTTACAACAACAATAACGAGGCTTTTTAATAAAAAAACCCACTGAACCTTTGACAATATTTAATTATGCTTGATATTCCTAGAAAGGGCATTTTCTTGCTGATATTAAATTGTTTATTGAAATAAAATTTCTCTTAAAATTTCTTAACCAAACGGACATTGACCAATTACGATCCTGCCATATACAGGACACTGTCCGTCTTCTTATGGACAGTTCAATCACCGATCGTTGGGTTAAATGAATGGTATTATTGCACGAAAACCAAGAAATGGAATCGTGACCCTCTTGTTACATGTATTTAGTGGCATATTAAAGATTTTACGATTACAACCTTATGGGAATATCTGCGGGTATTATTATAATACTGGCCCATTTTAATACCTTATTCATTTTTCTTCATTTCGTCTTAAACCGGTGCATTAGGGTGCGTTGACAATAACTTCCAGTTATTAAACATTCTGTAATTAAACAGAGTATAAAGTATTTTTTTAAATTAAACGTTTTATTTTATCAGCTCTATTTTGTTGAGACTGGAATTACAAAATGCCGCATAATACATGTAATACTTGGTATATGTAACAGCGTTTGGTAAAATTTATCATTTTATTTCCTTACTCGTATTACATACAGTGGAGCTGTTGTATTTGATCTTTGCTGTGCCGCTTCTTTTTACCGGAGCGGGAGGTGGTGTGTTTGGAAACAGAGTTAATGGTAACGGAAATGGAAATGGAGGAGGAGGTATTGTGACAGAAGACCCATGCTGCTGAGGATGTAAGTATCTTGTCTTATGTGGCTGAGGGGTTGCCCTTGATGGTAAGAATTGCTGCGTAATCATAATAATCGACTGAATGGGTTCGATTCTTCTGTTAGCTCCAGCAGGTGAGGTGGTTTTGACCCCTTGTGTTGACTTGAAGTTTGTAACACCCGAGGTTAGCCAAAATCACCTTTCCTGTTATGGTGCAATAACATAACAAACAACTTTTAAAATTACTACTATTCATAGAAACATTTTACATGTTTAAGAGAAAAACGTGCATTACCAAGTATTTATGATTATTTCTTCATAATTGTTATTGCATGGAAGTGAGAAAATTAAACAACTTTTATTCTATTATTGAAGTCTAACAGCAACAGCAAAAACACGCTAACTTTTATTTTTTTCGTATTTCAGGTCTACACTTGCATTTCACAATTTTATATTCGGATGACGTACATGGATACTTTTAGTTAGATTCAAAATAATTGTGCAAGCCATCTACAAACATGCCGTTCTGAAGAAAAAAAAACGCCTTAAATATATTGCTTAATAGAAGACTGGAACAGATTTTTATCAGTTTGTTTCTTATTTAAAACTTGTTTCTTTATAAACGTGATTGTTCATAACATATTCTTTTAAACAATTTGTTGCGTTTACATGCATTTTTGTGACATTAAAGGCACTGTACTGAGTTCTAAACCTTAATCTTATTGTGCGAAACTCTTGTAAAAACGTTTCTTTTCGAGTCCCTTTACGTTAAAAATCTCAGTAGAGTCTATTTGATGTATAAATTTAGTTATATACATTAGTGCGTCAAGTAATCAATTCAAAATGACTAATGTAAAGTGTTTTATTTGTTATCAAATTAAATTTGATTTGAACATACATTGTTTTGCCAGTTATTTTTTATTTGTTTGTTTTCAAGATAGATGATTGATACTGAAATACAATACCGGTATATACAAACTTACAATACTGGTATATACAAGCTTACACTACCGGTATACTAGTATACAAACTTACATTACAATACCAGTATATATATACTTTAAATACCAGTATATGTATATACAAACTTACAACTAGTATATACGATCTTACAATACCGGTATATACAAACTTACAATGCATGTATATTCTTTTTTTTCCGACCGAAGGCCGGTCTAAAATCAGTTTGACTTCCTGTAAAATTTACAGGAAAGAGAGGCTGAGTATTTGTATGTTGGTCTTAGAAAAGATCACTGACCGAAACACGACCGTTTCGTTTAGAAACACATAATCCTTTAAGTGTTACATTTTTTTAGATTAAAGACCCTTCAAGAAGTTATTATGTCATTGGTTAACATTTCCATATGAATTAACATATTCAATTTTACTAGATTTGCTTCCGCCTAGTATCTTTTATTGAAAGATATTTATAATACTCGTACTCAAATACTACATAAAAATCTGGAAACACAGTGATCCCACGGAAGCATTAATTAATCACAGCAAAAATACATAAGAATTGCAGACTCGGTTTGATTGAGCCTGTACACGAGGGATAATGAATAAGCGCAACTCAATAGTGCTCGAGCTCAACACGCGCAAGTGTGTAGATAAGCAAATTGTACTGCATCTGCAGTTTTCATGGTAACGCGTTTAGTAACCGCATTTTAGTACTTAGTGCTTTCTTGTTAATAAATGAACATCCCGAGAGCTGAAAAAATTTAAATAGATAAAAAGTATCATTGTTCAATTAATATGTCTTTCTTGTCGTTATTCATAAACATGTATACACATTTTTTTATGTATGCAACTCTTTTAAGACAAAAAAACTTTGCAAATTATGCCGACGTTTCCAGCACTTCAATATAAATCACTAACCTGTAATTGTCTGTACCAGTCACCATCTTATAGACTGTGATTAGATGAGCTATGAATGACTTTCGCACCTCCCTGGCACGTGCACGTCATAGAGAGGCACAAAGCATTGGATGAAGATGTGAAGAACTCGGGATCGCCAGACCTGTATCTGAATACCAGCTACCGATTTCCAAAGTAGACAGGAACGACGAAGAAGGGCGCTTTGGTGCGTGAGTCCCAAGCACAAAGTGGCGGCTTGAAAGATTTTTGCTTGGCTTATTCACCTTTCCACAATGTCTTTGGTTATTGTACAAGTTCTCATTGACCTACTTTCGGCCCAAAATTTATTGTTTGCTAATAATCAGTGGAAATTGCATGGCGGTAAATTATCACCACTCTGAGCTTAAAATAAACCATTTAAGGCGTAATTCAATGTGGATAAAGTAAGTAAATATCGGTTTAAGTAAAGTTGTAAATATATGTATCGACAAATCATTATATGAGAGAGTCACGTCATATGTTAACATATTATCTGCATCTAAATTGTCTTGTGCTTTCTATATGTCACTGGGTTTTAAGCAAGGGGAACCACTCTCACTGTCGCTTTTTATACTGTTTGTTAATGATGTAAGCGATTCACTATAGTTTGATGATTTGACGGATAATGACTTACAGCAACTTTCAAAATATATGTTGCTTTTTGCAGATGGTATAGCAGTTTTTACAACTTTTAAAACATAGTTTGCAAGCACTATTAGATAGTATAGGCAGATAGAAATTAAGATAAATGTAAGAAAGACAAAAATGTGTGTATTTGAAAAATAAAAACAAAGACATGAATTCAATTCAACATATATTTTTTTTACCTTATTAATAACGAAATGAAATCAAGAAATCAAGAAGTTGACAGTTTTTGCTTTTTAGGTATAAAACTTAGTTGACTAGGCGCTTAAAGCCAAACATAGTTTATTACCTCTCTGAAGGAGATAACCATTGATTTAAAAAAACAAAATTAATACTATGTGATAGACTTATTGTTCCAATGTTTATGTATGGTTCTGAAGTTTGGTTAATATACAAGTATAAAGAGATAGATCAGTTACAAAAACTAGTTTACTTTTATAAATGTTAATTCATTTGCGCAAAGCTATCAATTAAAAATGACTAATATGAAGTTTTTTTATCTGTTATAAATCATACATTGTTTTGGCAGTGACTTTGTGTTTGTTTGTTTAACAATATGTCTCAGTGAGACGCACGTGGTACAGTGGGAAACACGTGATATATATTTCATGTGGTACAATGCGACAGGTGCAATACAGTAATACTCACATTTTACAGTAGATAGATAGATGTTATTTTATTGACGTATACATATTTTTACATAGTCATAAATACAGAAGATTATCACAATGTCATGGAACGGTGATAATGATAACAATCTTTTAAATTTTGAATATTGAGAATGTTTATAAGTTTCTAGTAAATAACCGAATTGATTAAGTTGAGGCGAATTCATTCTAAACATATTAAGTAATTAATTGAATACATTCCAATTTGACAAAGAACTTGTTACAAGAAAATGTGCTTAAACAAATTACTTGTAAAATTTAACAGTTCGAGTTACAATATAGTTTAAAAAAATAAATGATAATTTTTATAAAGCCATATCGACACAATGTACTTAACAAGTCCTATTAATTCAGATTTATTTCTTGAAATCAGAAGCTTCAAACAATTTTAACATGCTTGCTTTTTGTAATAATAAGGATTGATAAACTCTCTACATAATGCCAGATAACGATTACAAATAATAACAAAACTAAATTCGTCTTCAACTTCTTGAACATTGCATAATTCGCATTTTCTTTCTCAATGAGACAGTCATCTTCTACTTAGACATCCTTGGTACAGCCAATTCACATGTCACATAATACAGTAAAACCGGCGTGGTATATTAAGACGCACAAGGTATGGTGGGAATCACGTAGTACAATGCGAATTTCGATGTACAGATGCTTTGCGCTCTCGATTGACTACTGGTATAAGAAACAACAGCAGTCCACTAACAACAAGCTCCACACCAGCAACAACAAAAGGCACCATATAGTTTCCAGTGACGTCAAATAAAGCACCTGTAATTATACGTATATTGAAATAGGACAGCCGAGCTGTAAACTTACGCTGCCTTAATATGTAAAGGAAGTAGTGGAGTCACTACGACTTTAACTAACAATAGACGTTGACTTTAAAATTCAAAATTTTGTTTATTTCCTGTCATATACAGATAGATGAATAATTGTCTATTGACGAGGTAGAAAATTCAATTGCATCTTCTCGACCTTTTCCGTCAGACTTCGGATAAGAACCTCGAACAAAATAGTAAGAATACACAGAACGGATACGGTATTTTGGTCTAACCGACGATAAGAAACTGAACATGTAAACAAATAACTTAATTTAATGCTAGGAGTTGGTGTCTTTCGGCATTTTTCTAGTTGGGGGTTCCAATATTTCTTACTTTTTAAAATTCCATTTTATTTTGTTTTCTAGTTTAGGGCACACGCTTTTACCTTGGGACCTTACGCCGCCTTTCATGGAATGGCGCGACATTGAATATTCCATGATAACCATCGTATGAACATTTTCGCAGATATTTCTAAATTTAAAATTTCACCATTTTTATGTTTAAATGTTGAATTCTGCATAAGCCAGTGATATGGGGTGTGGACAGTAGTTTTGACAAAATAAAATGGAATTTTAAAAAGTAAGAAATATTGGAACCACCCAACTAGAAAAATGCCGAAAGTCAACTCCTAGCATTAAATTAAGTATCAACTGTGGGTCAATCACTGTTATAAATTCACTCTTTTGAAATATACAGTCAATTCAGCTTATCTTGACAATGAAATAATGACCATAATGTCACATTAAAATGTAACTATATATTGAGTTATTTAAAATACATACGTGAGCACAAACGTAATATATAACTAATGTAGATGATCACGACAACGACAAAGAAAACAACATTTATAAAGAAGAAGATGAAGATAATATTGTATATAGAGGGCATTGAATGAGTGTTGATTAAACACTTCATAAAAATAGAACGAGTTTAATAAAATCACTTTATATGGGAGCCGTTATATACAAAGGTCCATCAGTGATGACATGTGTCGCCTCATGATAGCAAAAACTTGGCAAAAAATCACTCAACCTAAAAACTTGTGTAATATGCACAAGAATATGAGCTATCGATCAATCCTGTAAAGTTTCATTGAAATTGCATAAGTGGTATATCAGGAGTAGTCCGGACAAATTCAAAATTAAAATCATAAAAGTGCAAAAACTCTGACAAAAATCAATGAACCGAAAATTGTTAATGAGATGCACAACTAGACATGGTATTGATCATTCCCCTAAAATTTTGGTGAAATTGCACCAGCAGTTTCTAAGGAGTAGTCCAGAAAAACTTCTGTCTAGCTGGCAACACAAAAAACACCTTTTTTATTCAAGGGCAATAACTTAGCCAAAAATCATTCAAGAAAAAAACTTGTGTATTATGCACAAGTACTTGACCTACAAATTAATCCTGTAAAGTTTCATTGAAATTGCATTAATGATATATGAGGAGTAGTCCAGACAAATTTTATTATTTCAAGGGCCATAACTAGACTAAAAATCATTCACGCGTAAAACCCGTGTTATATGCGCAAGTGCTTGACCTACCAATCAATCATGTAAAGTTTCATTGAAATTGCATTAGTGGTTTATGAAAAGTAGTCCGGGCAAACTTTAAAAGATAAAAATAATTAAAGGGCAATAATTAAAAAAAATTCATTGAACAATAAAAGCCGATGATAATGCACAACTAGACTTGGTACTGATCATTCCTGTAAAGTTTGAATGAAATTGCACAGTATTTTATGAGAAGTAGTCCGGACAAGCTTTTGTGTATCTGGCAACACATAGAAAACCACCTTTTTATTAAATGGCCAACAATCATTCAACCGTAAAACCCGTGCAAGATGCGCAAGGATCAATACTGTAAAGTTCCTTTAAAATTGCATTAGTTGTATAAGAGGAGTAGTCCGGACAAAAATTATTAAAGGGCTATAACTCGGACAAAAATAATTGAACCGGAAAATGCTGACGATATGCGCAACTAGACTTGGTACTGAACATTCCTGTAAAGTTTGAATGAAATTGCACCAGTAGTTTATGAGAAGTCGGAGAGTTTTGTGACGGACAGACGGACGGACGGCCGGACGGCCGGACAGACGACGGAGAAGTGATCCCTATATGTCGCCACTACTCCGTAGAGGCGATACAAAAGCGTGTATAAAGCAAATGACGTCTCGTCAATATTTTACTAGAAAAGTGTAATATCGTTTTCATTAAATGGCTTACATACCCGTGCCGCTTTTGGGACTCCGTAAAAATGGAATTACACGGCCCTGCGTAAACTTTTACGAGACGTCATTTGCGTTATACAAACATAGAGTAAAGTCACGCTAAATGTAAGCGTCACACTATAGGTGCGTCAATGAAAAATGACTCATTCATTTTAACAGTCTTTATTTTTGGTATGTGATAAATGGGATTTATTTTCTACCTGCTTTTGGAAGACCAACAAATGCCGCGAAAGCACAGAAGAACATGTTGAGACCATACAAATCTGCTATCATATCTACGCCAAACAAATCGGGTACCAGGACATATCGAAGGGAACTTGAACTACCTATGGAAGGTTTAAAGAGAAGGAAGTTTAAATGCCATGTTAACATTCGATAATCAGTTAAAATGATGACGTAACTCCTCCGTTGTTTTTATTATATCATGTATAAATCATATATTTCTAACATAATCATAATTTGATAGAAATTAACTATAAAACCTAGAATGTAATATGTATCCTGTTGTCCAACTCATAAAGGAAGTACTATCTCTGTGTTTATTGAATTGAAATTCAAATTGTAAACAAAATGATACATTTAAAGTGAATAAGATTAAACAAATTTGTAATGTCAGAACGAAACAAGACAAATGATATGATAGAAAAAAGTGTTCATAATAATTTAGATATTTTTGATGTGCCTTACCTGCAGAGAATCCAAACAAAATGGAAAAGGCAAGAAAAGAGGCATAGTTGAAACAAAAGGGACAGCAGACGACAATTATGCCATTCAGAACAACGATGGAGTTGCAGAGTTTCACTCGGTTAATAAACCGTAGATCGGCAATAAATCCTATCACTATACGGCTGACCGTGCTTACCAAACCTAACAAAAACACAACCGAAAGAAAAGAATCAATGTTAAAATTAGATTGAAACAACAACAAAAACAAAACTATAACAAACTTAGATCAATTTAACTTCTTTTTACATAACCTCAAACATTTACTCAGTACAACTTTTTGTAATTTATTCTTGCTTTTTTACTTTTTTTGTTTACATAGCATCAAAGGGAAATACTTTCATGGTTAATAAAAGAAAATCAGCCAAGAAATAATAAACACGTACCTATAACAAACAGCATCCATACAGAATCTTGTTTTTGAAACCCTCTTTGAAGCATCATGTCCGGCAAAAATGTGAACGGTACGTTTAAAGCTAATTCAATAAGGAACCCTGACACAAGGAAAAACAGAAAACCTATATTCTTTAAAGGCGATAAACTAAACCATCTCTTTCTCTTGTCAGTCCCCTCCTCTTCTTGAAGTTTTACAGAATTTTCATCGGTTTGTTTATCAACATTTAACAATTTTGAGTCGCTATTTTTGTTATTGTAAAGTGAAATTTCATGGCATGTTTCACAGCTATTTTCTGAATAAGTTGCACCATTAATGATTTTATCTGTTGATATTATTAAAGGATGCGCCTCATCGGGATCTTCTTCAGTCGTTTGCTTCAATTCAATTCCCTTAGGAATAATTGATAATTCTACTTCACCATCATTTGCAAGAAGCGACGCCGAATCTCTGTTTTCTTTATATGTTTCTAGCTTTACACTTTTGTCATTTTCATGTCCACGTTCATTACAGAGCTCTTGGTCATCTGAACGACAGATACCTGATATATGATCGCAATGATTTAACTCAGTAAATGGTCCGACTTCCTTTGTGTTTTCTTCCTTTGTGTTATCATCTTTTGTGTTATCAGTATCGAGTTCTACAATTGCGTTGGTGCTTTCTGCTCTTGTTGCTGGTTGCTTCAATACAAGCGCACATACTAAGCCGTTTAATACAATTCCAGACTCTATGAGAAGTGTTCCGCGCCAGGTGTATGTATCTATAAGGACCTAATAAAATATAACGTGAACCTTGCAGATTATACTTTTCATCTAGAAATCTTCTCATGAACATTTGCCTTGCTACTACTATCTTCACGTTTGAAATAATGAATAATGTTAAACTAGTCAGATACGAAAAATAAAAAAATAAAATAAATAAAAACAATAAAACAACAACAACAACAACAACAATAAAAAGCCGGGTATGTTTGCTTTAAATAAACACATTTACTAAAGCCGAGAAAAAATTATGTTAAATGTAACGTTGCAAATATAAGCAAAGACAGTCCACTAAAACAATTTATTAACATTCAAATTGATACAAGTTTATTCAACTTGCATATGTATTTGTAAAGTATTTGAAATAACTATGAAAAATATGTATTTTAAACAGTATATAAATGAAAAGTCTTTGAATTGTATATTTATTAACATGGTTAACATGTATCAGCTTTTCTACCTAAATTGGAATGTGTATAAACTTAACAAGGAACATTTAGTAGTATTACTTTACTAAGTGGATTGAAAACAAGTGTCCCAAAACCTGAACCCATGGCTGCGATACCGGATGCTAAAGCCAGGCGCTTGTCAAAATAGCGTGCCAACGTCACTACCATTGGCATCGACATCATCCCAAAACCAAGACCTGACAAAACAACAACAACGAAAACTTTTAACTTAAAACAGCTTCCGGATTTTCTACAGGTTAAATGTGTTATTTTAAAAAAAAACGTTTCATATAATTGAGTGTAAATCAAATTAGAGTAAAAAATGAAATTTGCCGACGATAAAAACACAAACTATAAACCCCTCGATACCCCTAATCTACCGGTCTACTATATTTAAATTGATAAAGCTGGATCCTTTATCCTAGAAACAAAAGTCACTTATTCGTTATAAGTAGGTATCGGGACCCTTTTTTTAAAGAAGGCTTTTCCAAGATCAACTTACTGAAATACTTAGTTTGAACAAATAAGATAAATAATGATATGATTCTTGGCTTATACAAACTTATTTTAGTTCGATTGTGTTGGAAGCTATAAGCTAATTGAAACACTCTCGAATCCGTTGCGGAACCAACCAGTACTAAGCATGAATGTAAAGTTTCTTGCTCAAGGAAACAACGGCTTGCCCCTGACATGGTTTGAACCTACGGTCAGCAATCATTAGATTACTAGTCCGACGCGTTTACCACTCGGCCGCGCCGCCACATATGATTATTAATATTCAATGTTATGCTAAAGCTTAAAATAAGATACATAATTATATGATTGTCAATATTCAATGATATGTTAACGGTTCAAAAAAGATAAATAATTATATGACTCATAATATCCATTGAGATATAGATTTTTTGTTAAAGTGTAATTACCTCCTAGAAGTCCAAATGTTATATACATTACATACAAAGACCGCGCAAACGAACTGGCTACGAATCCTGAAAAACTGACAACAGTGCCCACCAGTCCAATCTTTCTACATCCAAATCGGTTGACCAACGCTGCAACAACAGGACCTGTGGTTTTGTATAATCCATAAGTATTATAAAAGTAGCCAAGGAAGGGAGTTTGTTTTTATTCTCTCACTAAGAACTATTTACTAAGGGAAAACAAATCCTGTCAAAAGTTTTCTCGATTCAAAACACCTGCCTACACCTTACAGTGAGTATGTCGTCCTTCAGTAATGTACTATTCAGGGGATGTAACCACTGCGATAGTGAATAATCAGTACATATGTGTACATTTTTATTCAATTTCTTTACTGTGTAGGGAATATCTTGTTATTTAACAGAAGCAAAATAACTTGCTGCAAATGTTGAAATGTTTGAAATGAAATGTTACTTTGAATAAATAACGTCTAGTTAAAACATATGTTTATTAGACCATTAAAATCTACATAATTATGCATTATGTAATTACTTGTTTTATGATGTTATCCTCTATATTACTAGTTGCCTGACATCACATGGTTAGTAGCAAAACAAAACTACATGTCTATAGACGCTTTTGATCGGAGAAAGGTAAGAATGAAACCATTTAAATAATCTAAAAACACGATCAAAATAGACAAAAGTAGGACAAATCGAATACATGGTTGATTTCAGGATAGGTGAAGGTTTATCCGGTTCGCTACGAAAGTGAATCTTGGCTCGCTATTTAAAGATACACTTTCGCGCTCACCGGATAAACCATCTCCATCCCGACATCAACCATGTATTCTCTATTTCTCACCTGAAAGCAACATCACTCCTATCTGAATAGACATTATCCATGATGTCTGGCTCTTAGTCCCTTTAAACGTATTCACAAGCTCTACAAATATGATACCAAACGAGTATTTTACTCCATCTATAATCACGTTGCATAAAAATGTAGCTATGGCAACAATCCATCCCCATCCTCCATCTTGCCTGACATACATTTCCGTTTCCGGTTGTAGATTATATCAGCTGCACTAATTTATAACATCCACTTCCGGTATCTGAAAGACTCTCGTTGCGCATGGAAAACAATACTTCTACTTTTCACTTCTTCATATCTATTTACTATCATAGCATAATGTCGTTCGTAATTACTTACAAACTTAACAAAATGTAAGTATTTGACACACTTGGAGTATATCAGACGTTAAAGTGATTGGGTTAACTCTCGTTATCTCGATTTATTTTTCAGTATCTCGATCAAATATGATATGTCTTAGTTTTCATCTTTCTTTATCTGCATGCAACTTTATATCCATTTATCTCCGTTAAAGTTATATCTCAACACACACTATAACAATTCATTGTTTACTTTTACGAATGTCAGCAGGTCTATGTGCGCATAATAGCCAGGGCTAGTTCTCGTTGTAAGCACATCTTAGTGTTTAGCATCATAAATTAAGTATTCATATTTTAATTTTTGATTGATGATTTCCCTACGACTGTTATTTAGTTAGATATTGTTTTAAATTGGATGCAGTAGTTTGATTGTAGCACCGTCCTACTATAAATCCATGGCGGGTTAGAATTTAAAATTCTGAATACGCGAGGAACGGTGTATAAATGCCTATTATAGGATAATGATATTGGAAGTAAAAGAATAAAAAGTGTATGCTGTGATGAAAAAAGGTTTTCTTGCATATCATGCTTATGATGACATAATTTCCCCGTTATGAATGAAGTTGTGATTCCATACGAAAAAAAGTGACGGGTGTAATGACATAATTTCTAATTTTCTATGGAACAATTGTTTTGTTAAGGTGAATCATTCAAAATATGATGGAATATAAAAAATTATCTGACATATGTTTGCGGTAATATCCGTCACTCGGCAAGTCTCGTTACCGCCCAGTTGGCGGGTCCCCTCGGGACGGCTATTCCAATCTGAACCGCGACATATGACAAATATTATTAGTATGTCCGTTGCACTAGAATGTCAGTCTTCTGAATTAAGTCGCTCCTATTGGTTTCAAATGACGACAATAAATAAACACAAGCATGTTATCTGTCAGACGGCAACAGACGCGGAGCTATTTGTGTTTACTATTTTTATTTGTCTATGAACCCGATTTGTATCAATTAATCCCTCAATAAATTCAGAATCATATTTAAGTCCATCCTCTTAGAATAGAACATGATGAAATTGTATGCTTAAAATAGCATGTAATTGTTATTTAATTAAATGTAAATGTGTAAATGTAATGTATGTGTTATTGCGATTCGATACTTATAAACACTGATTGATCATGTGACTATATTATATTACATGTAAATGTATCAATTTTGTAAATATGTTACGATGATCTTCGTATGGTACGCATCTAATAAAATGCATGTTCTGTTCTGTTCTATTTCTCTCTTTTTTGTCAGACACACGCCCAAATCACAGCCTGCAGTGGAATATTTAAGGTAAGAGAGATGTTTTGATAAGTGAATCAAAATACATGTTTTTTTTTTTAAATTGAAAATAAAACTAATTATATAATTGTATTGAATTTGAAATGGTATTGTTTACACAATAATCGGAAGGAATTTCAGTCAATGAGGTGAACTAATTTCGGACAGAACAGTTGTAACAGTAATTTCGGATAAAAAAACAGGACATTTGAAAATTGTTTAATCAAACAAATTACTTCACCTAGAAAACCAAATTTCAATATTTGAAACTGAAGATAAATGATAAAACACCATAATACTTCATATTTATTCATCATTGTAACGGATTAAGAATAAATGAAGAAAGAAATTCTTGAAGTTTTAAGAGCGCTAATAAGATAATTTATGCATTTACTCAATTTTGGACTACAATTCAAGCAACAAAACGTCTATATCATAGTCCGACGAGGATGTAAATATATTATTGCCATTATTTTTGACTGCCAATATTTTATATAGTACCAAATACTATTAAAATCAGTGTTTTTGGTATAAAATACATTCCACTACGGAACAATTCACTTTAAAGAACACACGTCAGCGTTGCGCGAGTGAAGAAATGAAATCCAAGACAAAAGTCATCATGCTGTTGTAATTTGCAAAGAAGTTGACGCATTTGGTTTAAAGACATTTTCTACAGTCTTAGGAAAATATAATTCCTTTTATAGAATTGTTAATATTTTATTTGATAAAATAGGTAAATTTAATGACAAATTTAAAAGTAATTGAACAATATATGTTGACGCGTTGGATTATTGTAAAATTGCAGTTTCCATGGTAACCGTATATCTCAAATCTGTCAAAATTGCCACACTATCTGTTAGATAATAAAAAGTTATAGGAAATCTTTTTACAGACAACAAACATGATTTTATAAATATATAAGTTTTTCTTTTGATTCTGTATAGAAAAAATAAATAATCTGAACACATTTCTTCACAAAAGAATATTTTAATTGTCTTAACTCTACAAAAACCCAAAATAAACATGAATGTTGTAAACAAATGAAGATATCAAAAACATTCTTTCATAGAATTTTCCATATATTTATATAAAAGGTAAAAACATATGGAAAATTCAAAAAGGAAAAGAAAGATATATGTTGACGTGTTGAATTTCAGCATACGTCAACTGTCAAACTGACCAAGCTTTCTCCAGAGATAACAACGTAATACAATAGGCATAGTTATATTTACAATAAAACTTATGGCAATATATATAATCATTATTTCTTTTGATGTTATACATGTTATATGAAGTATACAGTACAGCTAAATGTTATTAAAACAAGTCTCCCATATCATTTCTTCCCTCGTCAAATGAGACGAATAAGTAGATCTAAGTATTCTGTTTGAACGTTTCATTCATAGATTTATATTTTTTTCTATTCAACATTTTTATGTACATCCTTTAAAGCTTCTTCGTCTGTTTATCTACTATTACGATTAAGTGGCTACGCACTTTCGTCACTGTCACTAGAAGGTGGGGTAACTCGCGCAGAATTATTATCAGCGTTGTCATACAAAAGCTTAGAGAAACCCCGTGTCTGATGTTGTCTAGAAAACTCACTTATTATTTTCACCCGTTTTTCTTCTGACCATTTAGAAAAAATGTCTCCTGTACTGTACAGTAAGCTTATGATCTGTTTTACGGTCGAAATTTAAATTTAAAACAATTACAATTATCCGAGTACTATTAAACTAATTTCTTTGTGAAGAGTTACTGTCCGTGACTATTTCCCTTGAAAACGTATAACGATGCGCACAAAAAAACTACCGAGAGACGTCTTAAATAATATAGAGCTTAGAACAAAAAAATCAAGGAGTTACTCACAGAACGTGGCCCCAGACACAACCTTCCCGCACAATGTGGGTACCATGGTGTCGATTCAAAAATGGGAAAGTAATATTAGTGATAGAAATTAAACTCAAACATGACTTCGTAAACACCTAATTATCAAACAATTTAGTAGAAGTAAAGTTAGCTTCGTTATGATTTATTCAGTTTCATTGTTATTAATTAAAATTGACAATAAATTCAATGATTAGTATCTTGTCATTAAAATGATTCATTTGCGTCAGTATGATTGGTTAAATGATTAAATCATGAAACACGTTACCCTTAATACGAAATAAGGCAAAGCCTATGAACGGGGAAGTCGGTTAAAAACATACTTAATTTTTCTGTTTTACCGCTACCATTTTCGACGATTGTTATTGATCCGTAAAGTTGCGTTTGTTCGTTATCGGAATATCCCGCCTACTATCCTACTATTTAGGCACATTGAAAATGGCGGCGCTCCTGAACATTTCATTGATAGTATATTCTTTAATTGCTTTTTTATTTCATTTTTCTTTAAAATGTGCACGTGAAGTCTAAAGCTGGGCAAGCCAAAACCCTGATCTGCTTTGCGGTCCCGGCCTTTGACTTTCCGTATAAGTTTTAACGCTATCTTTTGCAGTTGAAATCCCTCGAAGCGCATTTAAATCATTTATTTTTCAAGTGCTTGATGCGGTTCAATAGACAATGTATCAAAGCTTTGAGATACATTACCATATTATTCTGATCATGAAATAAATATCTGAAGCTATTGGCAATACAAGAAAATTTTCTTTGAAATTAGTACCCCAAAAAATGAATATGAGTTTTGACTCCGCCCACTTTCATATTTTACACATAATACAAGAGCATAAAACAGGATTGCGTATTAAATCATTCAGTTTTAAATCATTTTCTGTCATTTTATATATGTATATAAAGTCTTAATTCAGTAGAAAAAAATCCATTCATTTGCTATATAAAGCGATTATGATATAAATGAATTCAGTTATGTCGAAAGAAACATGTTCGTGAAGTTGGCAGCCTAGCAGCCTAGCAGCCTAGCAGCCTGGCAGCCTGAAGTTGGCAGCCTAGAAGCCTGGCAGCCTAGCAGCCTGGCAGCCTAGCAGCCTAAAGAAAACTAAGAATAGTACAAACATGAAAACCGACGGAAATGAGTCGGTAGCACATACTTAGACTATTCCACGTCTTTTATCAGTATCGCGAACTTAATTTTTTTAAATATTGAACTTTGCTTTTTTTTTTAATTTACTTTTCGAAATTTGAGCAGCCTAGCAGCCTAGCAGCCTGGCAGCCTAAATAAAACTAAGAATAGTACAAACATGAAAACCGTCGGAAATACATTAGCAGCACTTCTTTAGATCATTCCACGCCTTTTTCAATATCGTGATCTTTATTTTTTAAGATGTTGAACTTTATCGTAACATATTGTTTTCATTCTGACGCTTCGAAATTTGAAGTTAGCAGCCTAACAGCCTAGCAGCCTGACAGCCTAGCAGCCTGGCAGCCTAACATGTACAGCCTAAAGAAAACTTTTTTTTCTTTTTTTTTTACTCTTCGAAATTTGTGAAGCTATCAGCCTAATAGCCAAGCAGCCTGGCAGCCTAACAGCCTGGCAGCCTAGCAGCCTGGCAGCCTATCAGCCTGATAGCTTCACAAATTTCGAAGAGTAAAAAAAAGAAAAAAAAAGCAAAGTTTAATATTTAAAAGAATTAAGTTCGCCATACTACAAAAAGACGTGGAATAGTCGAAGTATGTGCTACCGACTCACTTCCGTCGGTTTTCATGTTTGTATTATCCTTAGTCTTCTTTAGGCTGTTAGGCTGCCAGGCTGCAAATTTTGAAGTGTCAAAATAAAAAAAAAGTTAATTATTTAAAAAAAATAAAGTACGCATTACAGAAATAAGACGTGGAATGGTCTAAGTATTTGCTACCGATTC